CAAAGCAGGTACATTCGATAATCCCAGGCATGGCACTTATGAGAGTGAGGCCTGCAAAAGTTATAATCACCATTTCCATTTTTATATAGTACAAAATAAAAATGAAAGTTGCATGCAATGTACTCATAGCCCCTTTTCTGATGGTAACCAACTTCCATTCAGACTGTATTCCCCTAGTGCACATGGACCATCGTGGGGTATTGGAGGAATATTTGGGGTGAAAAGGTGCTGAGTATGTTGTGTACAACTTTCGTTTTTATTTTGTACCGTATAAAAAACAGAAATGGGGATTATAACTTCTGCAGGCCTCCCATGACTCAGTCCACACAGGTCCCAATCCTGCGACTGGGCCTTGCAGACAGAGCCATACACGTGTGCAAGGCTTTCTTGATTTCTGTTAGACTCTGCACAGGCTTATGGGGAAGCCATTACAGATCAGATGGTAGAATCAGGGCCTTAATAGCTTCATAATTAAATAAATCCCAGCTGTGTGTCAGCTTTGGCTAAATCTCCTTATCCCCTTACTGAATCTTTACCATCAGCTGCAGCATGTGTGCACAGCCACCCCTCCTCATACCTAACGTGCAATCTGCCTAGCAAGAGATTTCCTGTAATATTTTCACATAGCAGACAAATAGCTTTTCACAAGGCTCGATTGTTGTAGTCTGGGGCCTGAATTCCTTCCACCCCAATGCAAGTCCCTGCACTTAACTGGAGTTACTTCCGATTTGCCATGCTGCTAGTGAAACTTGCCATAGCTGGGGGATTTTTTTTTCCAAGCCATGCACAACCCACAAGCTTGTAATAATAAAAATGAATGTAGCCAAACAACCTCTAGAGGGCTCTTGAAGCTTACTTTGGCAATTAGCAACCACCTGAAATAAGTTTGGCTCTTGTTCTTTAAAGTGGATCTAATATGGTTGAGTTCCTTTATAATGGACGAGAGAAAAGGTAAGACTGACTTGCATACCTTCTGAAAGATGTCTTGGCAGATCAACACAAAAATATTTTACCAGACAGGGAGTCCCGTTCAGCTTCCCTTGCTTGTTTTGTAGGAGTTGCGCTGGCAGTTCTGGCTTGGACCCATTTTCTAGTAGGTCCTACATACTTAACATGAAGGTGCTTGTAACAGGTGAGGCGCCCAAGGTTGTCGTGATGCCGTCTAGTGGCTGTCTCAGTCCTGTCTGGCTCTTGCCCCTGCCTCCCAGGGTCCCTGCACTGGTTCCTTGCATGTCTCATTTTAAGATTTGATGAGGGGAGACTGCGGTGGTCTTTCTCGGTCTCTCAGCCCTCATTCTCTTAGGTCCTACTTGCCTTGAGGGCTAAAATTCATGACCTCCCTCCACCCCTATAGTCACAGCCATGCCTCGCAGATGTTTCTCCATACACTGTTCTGTCCTTTGTAGACCCCTCAGCCCTCTTGGCTTTAGCCTCCCTTTCCCCTGCCTGCAGACCTCTAGCCCTAGCCCACTGATTTGGGCCCGGCCCCCGTCGGGTCTCTGGGACAGCCCTTAGCCCTCTGGCCCTTACCCCAGACTGGGCTGCTCTAGTCTAGCTGAGGATCAGATGCTGTAGACTAGCCCTCTAGTCCTTGACCCTGCCTAAAGCTAAGCTCCCTACCAGGCACTCCTCCATGATCTTCAGACTTCCCCTGTATCCACAACCCAGTCCTCTGGTATACAGCTTAAATTACAACATAAATACCAGACACTCTTCCCAATTAAAAGTCTCCCTAGCTCATGGGTTGTTGCCTTACTCAGGCCATCAGCTTCCCTTCGTTCCCCCTGGGCGGCTTCGGGGAACAGCTCAGGTGCCTGCTACTCGCCCTGCTGCAGGCATCTCTCTCAGGAGCTCCTCACCCCACCTCAGAGACTGTCTGCTCTGCCCCAGGTCCTGGGTTTATATGCAGGGAAGCCATGCCCCCTTTTGGTCACATGCCTTCCCTGGCTCCACACAGGGTTTTCCCTGTCAATCAAGGGCCAGCCTGGCCCTCCACACAGCCAGCTGAGCCTGCTGCATCCTCTTAAAAGGGCACAGTTCCCTCCCCTCCCCTTCCCTTCCTCCCAAGTAACAGGGTACGGGTGCCCTGCTACAGTGTGTAAATTATTACCCCTAAGCACATATCCTGGTCACAGCTTATGAGGAAAAAACACAGGTGTTTCTTTTCCTTTCAGAAAGAATCGTGTGTTTAGTTTCAATACCTGAATAATGCATTGGAAGGTGCTGCCCTTAATTTCATCTGCAGTGAAATGACAACTAAACATTCAAAAAGCATCGGATTTACCTTGTGAAATCCCATTGCTCGCTTCTGATTATGGAAGCAGAGCTCTTTTTCACACTACAGAGAGCTTTGGGGGTTTATTCTTGATTCTCAAAGAACAAAAAAAGCCAAAGTAAGAAAAGGGAAGGGAAAAAAAAAAAAAAAAGAAAAAAAGGGGGGGGGGGGGGGGGCGGGACAAAAAACTAACCCAGATTCTTACCTCTCAGGTTGCTCTTCTCATTTTAAAGAAACCTAATGAATTATTTTTTGTTTGAATGATTATTGCACTGGTTCTAGACTGTGTAGTTCTTGTAATTAAAGAGGAACTGGCAATTAAGAGGGAAAAGGCAGTCAGCACTGTAATCTCTGGCAGGCAGAGGCATCGAGGCAGCTGCCAGTGCTACTGCCTGCTCCCCAGTCAAGGACCCAGATGCCTCTAATAATATTTCCCACAGCTCAGCATCTGGGTCTTTTAATGATGAACCAAGCTCTGTGCAACTTGGGGATTTGCTTCACTGCTGGAAGAGAGACAAGGAGAAAGAAATGGGGTTGATTTACCGGTAATGATTTCTTCAGTTAAAAAGTCCATTGTTATAGTGTTGTCAAACTTTTCTCATCGGGGAAAAAAAAGACCTCTCCCCACTGCTACAAAAATGGTTAAAAAAATACAAGTGCAAAGCTTTTAAAGTTTACCTGAAAACCTCATTAAAGTATCTCTAAACCGATATGGGTGAGAGGTGCTACCTGCAATGAAAATGTGAATAATTACTTCATGCCTCAAGTGCAGTGAAGTAGTGCAGACTTTTTAACTATCCATTGGGTACAGACCGAAGTAACAATTTTTGCCCGTTCAAGCCACAGAAAGTGGTCTGTAGCTATGACCAAACACAAGAGTAGAACAAATTCCCTCTGCTCCCTTTCCTCCCTCCCAGTCTGAAAACAGGGACAGGCTGGCAGGGGCCATTGCTAGAGGAAACCGGCTGCAGGCTCAAAGCCAGCAGCAGTGAACTTCTGTTTGGTCCGAGGGATCGTTGCAACTCAGAATGTTTCCTGCAAAGCATTGTCCATTACAGCGGCGAGCTGCATTTCTGTGTGCACCCATTGAGGCCTTAGGGCATGTCTGTGTGTTCATTAATGAGCTTTTGCTAACGCACATTAAATTTAGTACCTCCGTTGTAAGTTGCTAGGAAAAGGCACATTAGCCTATTTTAATCTATTTTATTTGTGATGCTTTAATGCGCATTAAAATAGGCTAATGTGCATTAAAGTGCACATGTAGACATCCCCTTAGGGACTAACCATCAGTCAGATGACTGAACATTAATAACGCGTCCTGCAGCTAAGAAGGGTTGAATGCGTTCTTTGTTCCAAAGGCTAATCTCTTTACAGATTGTAAGTGAAAAGAAATGTGTAAAATATTTATGCAGTCTAGTTTCTATCAATGGCCAGTTACAGTAACGGTATGACTCAATGTCTATTTTCAGGAAAAGTTTTCTTTGTACTTCAGACACCACATGCCAATCAGCCCACTAAGCCAGCTTCTCAGCAACTGTTAAATTGGTGTCACTCCAAGATGGGCAAATTTACAGTAGTTGAAGATGGTCTTTTCCACTGCAAACTCACTCTGTCTGACCCAGAGCCAAAGTGGTGAAGTCTATTTCTACAGAAGTGCTGATGAGCGAAGACATCCTTGCAGCACAAAAGCAGCCTGTAGAACCTGGCTCCCAATGCAACAGCTGAGTTGTAGCGCCAATAGTGTCATCACTTCATGCTTTTTGTCTTTCCTTGCTTGAAAATGTCATCTAATTATCTAGAAGAGCCACGAAGAATAGCAGCGAACAAATCTGAACTCTGCAAAGCACAGATTCTGTCAAGGTGAATTCGGGCCGTACTGAAAAAATGGAGATTTCCATTGACATTAATGCAAATTTCTGCTTAAAAAGCAAGAGTGTGAGTGGATTATCAATACAATGGGATGTGCTAGAATATCCCTTTCTGCTTCACATAAAACTGCTGTGCTTCAGTAAGCCTGTATGCGGCTAATTCCTTCCCTTAATTCTTAGGGAAACATGTGGATTTACACTGCAGACATTCATTGAGAAACTCATTTTCTTCCGAATCATATGCAAGGGACCAATTTAGAAACATCCATATCAGGGTTGCTTTCTTTTATGGGCTATAAATAGATACAGCCGGGGAGGGGAAGTGGGGGAATCGTGTAACCACAATGTAATAACACGACCTGCAGATTACAAGTTAATTAAAGTCGAAGCAACCAAGTGCAGTACTTGAGGAATTATTTACCTCTTGGTGTGGGGAGCTGAGATTTTCTGACATTTCTCACTAATGCAAAATAAATTAGCACTGAGAAATCCAGCCTGCTCAAACCAAAGAAACAGCGTGGTCTCTACCCATATTTTTCTTTTCCTAACACCCCTGATGACAAAAAGAAAACTGGAGTGGAAAATGGCAGTAGTCATGTGCTAGCTATCTCTAAAAGGCACTTCCCATGTCATTTTATGGCCAGTGTCAAACTGCAACAGGCTGGCAGGACTGGCCTGAATGCTCCAGCTCCTTAGCAGGTGTTGATCTTGACTCCTAATACTAAGTGCGTCTCACTGGTGCATTGAAGCAGGTAGTTCTTTACTCCGCCTAAATAAAAAAGAGGAGGAGGAATGGCAGCCTGGAGAATATTTGAGTTGAGTTTTTTGTGTTGGACTGTTCTTTTCTGCTTTAATAGGCGCAAATCCCCAGAAGCTGCTGAATTTGGACGTTGTGTAATATGTGGATTATGATTCAGAGCAGGATCAGGATGGCACCTACTCAGACTTTGCAGAAACGATGGGGATAAACTATCACCCAGATGACCCAGATTCCCTTATGGAGGCACCAGCAACCAAGGTAGCGTCTGACTTTGTTTTTTATCTGCAACTTTGGTCCACGCGTCTGCAGACTTCAGAGGCAGGTCCAAGTCTAAGTCGATTGTACTGATTTGCTACAATGTATTGCAAGGTGGGGAAGAAACATTTAATTGATTTTTTTTTCTCTGCAATTTAAATAAGCATCAATGTGAGCAGAGGACATTAAATAGAAAGTACTTTTTAAACTGATTTTTAAAAATGGGAGAGTCTATTTAGACATTTGTAAATTGTTAACAGAAGACACTTTACTGGACTGCAGTTCCTGGTGATTAGCTAATCTCTTCAACGTTGCCTGACACACAAGTCCAGTCGTTAAGGAGTTTGTCTTTTAGGCCTCACTTCAGAAAAGCCAGTAAACTTAATGTGACTTAAATCTGTACTTATATGCTTCCCAGACTGAGGATGCTCTCTTGAATTGTGCTGTTATGTATTTATACCTCTTGTCTTTTCTATCCTTATTTATATCCTGTGAACAGATGAAAATGCTCAGTCCTAATAGATCCCTCTCTGCAATTCCTAGAACGAAGCTGAGAGAGTCCTTCTGGACAAAGGAGGTAGAGGGACAGCACTGTACATTACTTACATTAATCATCCACAGCTGGATGGTTTCTGCCGCTCTTTCAGCCATGCCCTAGCTTTGAACTATCGCATGGCACAGCTAGCTATGAGGCTGAGTGCCTTTCAGTAAACCCTCTCTGCTGCAAATATGAGAATTGCATAAAACCAGACAGTGGATACCAAAAAAAAGCAACACTCTATGTCCCAGTTTTATTTTAAAACAGAAAAATATTTTTGACCCAGGCCTGCTTTAGGCCCTGACCTTTTGAATCCTAATGAGACTACTGGCAATAGGAAAAAAAAACCCTCATGCAAAAGTGCTTTGACGAGCTGTGCCTTAGACATGTGATAGCGCACTCTATTTAAACTTAAGATCTTCTGTCATTATACATCGCTCTCTGCTGGTAATTATGTATGTGTAGCGTGTTCGGCTCGCTGCCCAACAAAAAGCATTATTAAGAAACCAAATGGTTGCATCCCAAATAACCATAAAACATACATGTACCTAGAAGGTCTAGCTATATCTATTCTACTGCTGAGATCAGTTTACAGTAGCTTCTCAAGCATAAAATAAGAATGACCATTGCTACTAGCTGTCATTAGCGTCACCACAGACCATTTCAAAAGAAGCTATGGGGTTTCCACACGCTGCTAAAGGTAAGTTTGACATATATTTTACCAAGCAATTTCAGCAGCATGGTAAGACTATAAAAAAGCTTTGTCTAAAACAGTGTGCCTTGAGATCCTTTCAAGGGTGCCTTCCAGTGCTACGCCATGTTAGTACCGTTAGGTGTGCAAACATGATTCACGTGATAACCTGAGAGATGTTGAATAGGAATCCACAGTATTAAATATTAAGTATTAAATATTCTGACCTGTTGTGGCCTTTCTGAATTCTTTGCAGCAGAAAAGCTGCCATTATTAGTTTTCCGTAGTCCAAAAAGGAGTGAAAACTTAAAAGATGGCATTTTCCAAGGGGTGCCACAAGTCAAGAGGGGTGCTTCATGTCTAACAAAGGGTACCTTGAGCCTAAAAAGGTTGAGAGCCACTAGTATGGAAGATGTCATTTAGCAGAGATGATAAACAAGAAAGAAAAAAGGGACATTTTTTCCTGAAAGCTTTTATTTACTTCTCAATTTTCAATATATTTTAAAAAAATAAAAATCCAGCGAGATTTATAGCTGTTCCCCAAAGGAAAAACATTTAGTTAAAGTGGCATCTATATTTTCCTTTTTTAAAATTGAAAGTTGCCAGTAAAGGAGATGTAGATCCTTGGCAAAATTCAAGAGCAGGTTGCACAGATGCTTTACCTGGGATGGTTTGGTCGGGGATGATCCTGCTTTGAGCAGAGGCCTGGACTAGATGGCCTCCTGATGTCCCTTCCAGCCCTGCGATCCTGTGAATTGCAGATTTGAAAACTATTTTTCTGTCTGTGAAGGTGGAAAAATAATGAAGCAGTAGCTATTAGCCTTAACGCTTCCTGATACACCAACCAAGCCTGGTGAGATTCATTTGCTAAGGCACTGCAGCTACCGCCCAGGCAAAGCAACTCGTCTGCCAGAGCGAGTTTGGAAGATGGCTCTGTCCCTGCCATCCCAGTACATTTCCTCTTGGAGGTTTCAGCAGCCTTTTCCTTTCTGTACCGGGGGCCAGGAAGCTGGATCTTTCCTTCCCTCGGCCTTCTGGAGGAGCCGCCTTTTCTTTGCCGCGTCCCCTGCCTGGGTGGCTTTCGAAGGGCTGGACAGGTCACCCGATGCTGAAGCATGGCTTAGTGAGGGAGCTGAAAATGCCGGGTTGGGCATCCCTGCCATCCACTGCCCCAGGTGACTTCTTACAAGGCAGAAGACAAATAGGGAGGGGAAGGGAGGTTGAGGTGGGGCAATCCCTCGTGCCTGGCTTATACTTGGCAGAGACAGGACAGCTCAGTGGAGGCTGCAGCAGCAGTGGGAGAGCAAGCCCAGGTGAGTGATGAAGTTGGGAGTTTTCTAGCATATGAGTCAAGCTCATCCCGGCGGGGTTATGCTTGGTTAGTGATCTCAGCCCTCACGGCTCGGATGCGAAGAAAAGAGGGTCTGGATTGGGGGCGAGAGAGGGATAATTGGCTCAAGCGCTAACAGGAAGCAGGAGGAAACAGGTGGAAGAAAGCATCCTTCTTGAAGGGAAAAAAATGCTGGCCTTTTGCATTAGGATTTTTCTTTGCTGTAGGTCTGCAAGGCAAGTGGAAATCACCCCCCTCCTTCCTTCCCTCACCCCTCGGTGCAACCAGACAGAAAAATGAATGTCAGATAAATGGCAAGGAGCCAGCAGGGCGAAGGACCCGGCCCTTGTCCCGCTGAAGCTGATCGAAAAAATGCCTCTTGACTTCAACACAAGAAAGATCAGGCCCTATGTTCACAGCTTTGAAGGGCCCTATTTGCCACCGCTCGCATTGCCAGTATCCAGTTCATCAGAGAGCCCTGGGCATACTTGGGCAGACAATGCGATGGGAAGGTAAGAATTATCCTTTGTTTTAAAAATCACAGTGAACGCATGGAAAGCTTCCATTACAAAAGATTATGAGGCTGAATTTACTGTGCGCTGTAAACTTGCGTCCAGTGATCAAAAGCTAATGGAAAAAAGAGGCTTTTTTTTTTTTTTAAAGAGAAATAAGGAATTAGCATAAATTAATATAGCACCATATGTACAAGTTTCATTAGATAACAAAGGATCTAATCACAAAAGTATAAATATTTAATTTAATTCTAGCTGGTGCTAGCATGCAGTAATCCAGCTGAGCATAGAAATACACATTTAGGAAGGAGGGGGGAGAAAAGCAATATGCTATCTCAGTTCATAGGAAGGTCACCATGTTCACTACTGTTTGGCCATTCATTTTTCTTTGCTTTCCAGTGTGCGCGCATGCATGGCGTCAAGTCAGTCGCAGCACTTTTCCCACGGGGCGTGAGTCGGTTGTCAGCAGTTTGACACAGGAATTGCAGTACAGATGGGGTCTGATTTACGGCCCACTGAAATCATGAAAAGGTTTTCTGTTGACTTCAGTGAAAGCAGGATGAGGCCTTCCCCAGCCTCTGACGAAAAGCCAAGAGCATACCTACTTCCTGTGGACCGTGGTGGACTCATATTCCAATCTTAGTACAATTTGGGGGCAAGGAGGAAAGTTTTCAAGCATCCTATTGGTACTTTGTGAGTGTGTGTGTGTGTGTGATCCTTACGAGTGCAGAAAAGCGGCTGAAGGTAGAAATTGACTTGGACTTTCCATTTGCGGTTGTTCATACAGTATGTTTGACATTAATGATGTGACTGAGTTGCTATAATTAAGATTAATTTGCGAAGGTGGCAGCCAAGTTGAATCCTTTACCTTTCTTTTCTAAATTAATGTGGCACTGAGTAGCATGACATACTCCACGTTCTGCTGTGCACACTTATAAATTAATCCCCACGCCATTGTCAATAAGCAGATGGGGAATATTTGCGTTAACGGGGTTTTTTATTCAGCGTTGCAGAAATGATAAAACCGCCAAAGGAAGTGCACGGCAATTCAGTTTCATTACTTGGGCCCCATACACAGGTGGAGGCCTGCTGGATTGCATTTACTGTCATTTGTAATTGCCTGCGTACAAAAGTTAATTGATTTAAGTTGTAGGTGTGTGCGGCACGCGTGTGTGAGTGTTTGTTTTTAAGGAGGGTTTTATTTACAGAGCTCTATAATGAGGTCCGCCGGTTGGGTTTCATTTAACAAACGATGAAACTATACATATGATGATGTCTGTTTATATATGTGCATATTATAGCTGTCTATAGGAGGAGCAGGTGTGTAGCCGTGCATTTGTTGAGTGTTTCAGGGTGTGCGCGTGCGTCCATGCACCCTCCGGATTTTGGTTGCTGAGATCTGTAGTTGTGTGTTGGAGGGCCGCCCTGCTTGGTTTTATATTTTGATTTTTGCAAGGGAAATAGGCAGTGAGCAGCTGAAAGAAATCCGTTCCCACTATGCAATATGTCAAAGGCCCTTTTTGTCAATATATCCAGTCATTTTATTAATAGATTTTTTTTAAAATAGCTTCCTGTATATTAGGTTTTAAGAAATAACCCTTTTCATTGACCACTCCATTCTCAATTGCAGCTCTTTCATTAGTGTGATAAATGGCTGTTTAAAAACTAGAGAAAAATCATATGCTAAACCATGGGATGGAGACCAGCAGAAAAAAAGCCCATAACAGTAAGTTGGAACATCTCTGACCTGAACTGTGGGTCTTTTCTCGCTGAAAAAACAAGCAAAACAGAGCAGCTTTATCAGTCTCTCCCCCACTGGAACGAATAGGATTAATGTAGCTAAAAAATTACGCAGCAGCTTCCAAAATGTACCATATGGTTTTGCTTTAATTCAGCATGAGTTTTGATTGCTTCT